AAGTTGTGTATATAACTGCGATGATCAATCATGTCTTCAGATTGTTTTTCTGTTGCAGTATAGACAGTAAACGTACGTACGACAATGTACTCCAATCTTCAACTGTCCCTGCTGATTATAATTCTGGCAACCATTACAACGCAAGGTGCGCACCCAGAATCCCAACAGAAGAGTGAAAAACATGTTCTTGCCAAACGCAGTGAGTGTTTCTTCACGTGTATTTATGACTACCATATCATTGTTTGAATTTTGTTTTCACTAACTGTGGTTTGGACATGACAATGACAATTAAATGATTGCAGGGGTGTGACTCTTGTGTTAAACGAATGTTTTCCTCTTTACAGGGGTTTGTCTTGGGCCTATTGCGGATTGCATCAACAAAAAATAAGCCTTGTCCATCAGGCAAGGTGGAATGTCCTGGTTTTTCTTGTAACCGGCTTAAAGACAGATGTTGCTGTACCTAGTAAGAAACTACAGAAAACCTAACTAATATCAATTTTGTATCATCAGGGATTTTTTTTTCTTTTCTTTCTTTGGGCGGGAGAAATAAATATTAAATAAACAAATATTATTATGCGAGTTCCATTCTCGTCGCAGTACGATTTTAAGGATCGTTACAAATGCAGAAACATTGATGAACTGTTTATAATTTCCAATACGATCTTTTTGTACCGCTTTATGACCGTGTAAGTGGGAGGCGCGGTGGCCTCAAGGTAAGTGCGCTCGTCTCCGGATCGAGTGATCCGGGTTCGAGCCCTGGCCGGGGACATTGCGTTGATTGCGTTGTGTTCTTAAGCAAGACACTTAATTTTTTAATGCTGGGGGTAACCCTGCGATGGAGTAGCATCCCACCCAGGGGGGAGTAGAAATACTCCTAGCCGCTTCATGCCACAGAAACCAGGATAAGCTCCGGCCTGATGGGCCACTTGGTTCGTACACAGACGTAACCTTATGGTCGTGCGGCCGCGCACATGTACAATTAACTGATACGGCCTCACAGCACACAGCATTATACCCTTGTAAAGTGAAACGACAGTTTGAGCGAAAACATCAGTTTTCTATACTCGTTTTATACAGAGGGTCTGTTAGCTATACACGTTACAAGCAGGGGTAATCATAGCAAACGTCTCCAGCGCTATAAGCGAAAGGTTCCGTAAACTTCACTGTTATGTGAATGTCCTCGTAATTTTGGTTCCGCACCCAAAAAAAAATGTTCTTGTTATGGGCAACATTGATTTTGCAAACAAGTATGTGAAATTCTACCTACTGAATTTCATTTAGTCTAAATAAATGGCAACAACATTGCATCAATTTTCTTGCCCCATGCTAATTCGTCACTTAGAAACGACGGGAAACTGGGGTTATTCTTATCTCGCAGTGGCTTGTGGGACCGTTACTAGGGACAAAACAAGATACTACCCCCAGTAACTATCCCAGAAGCCACTGCGAGATGAGACGCGTCCCAGATTTCTTCTCGTTTTATAAAGTGGCGAATTTATTACAACTTTAAATTTTGTTCTTTTTTCAGGTATCGATGGAGGCAATGATGTCTGTCTCTCTAGATAAAATGATGGATTGACTTCAGAAACGACATGGTTAACTGACACTAAACTAATAATAAACGCTGAAGTAATTTGATTAACTTAAGGTATTTCAAAGGCAGGACTTATATGAATAATGTAAAAAGAAAAAGATAGATGAAGGCTGGGTCATTCAAATATGTTTCGTTTATCTCTACACTATCAGTAATGTTAGAATTGAAAACAAGAATGTTGGTTTTTCGGAAAGAATTTCCTCGGCCAAACTATGACGCGGAAACATTAAAAACAAATCGAAATATGACGTGGCACTCCAAGTCCATTCTGACTACACTCACACGAGACATTCCATGTGAAAAGTTTATTGAGGATGTGTCAGTCAGCCGTCAGATTCAATGTATCCTAATGTTCACCTCACAAATTTAACTAATGATTCCAAGAATTAGAACCTGTACTACACCGGAAGACCACAAAAAAACACCCTTTATATGTGGCCAAAAAAATAATTTGTGGAGGCGCGGTGGCCTCATGGTTAGTGCGCTCGTCTCCGGATCGAGCGGTCCGGGTTCGAGCCCTGGCCGGGGACATTGTGTTGTGTTCTTG